ACAAACAGTATTTTGTCACTTAAATTTGGCTCAATTCAGCCAAATATTAATGATGCCCTTGCCCCTTTTAAGAAAAAAATTTAGTAAGTTTTCAGTCTCAGTAGAACAAACGATGGTCCCTATCATCAAAGTATTCCAGAGTTATATGGAAAAGTTGATGTTTAAAATCACTCTACTGTCTATCCATAATTGGGGTCAGGAAATCTGAGACCTCTAAATTAAACTACCTTATTTTGCAAACAAGGAAACTGAGCCAGAGTAGTAAAATTATAGTTGGAACTCAGGTTCTCTGGCTCCTATACCAACGTGTCTCTCACTATATTGAGAATGCTTGGTGGTGCAGTAATGCAAAAATAGGAAGACTTTCAATGACAAAACCAAAAACCAAACTCCCTGCCATCAAGTCAATCTGACTCATAGTTGACCCCTCCTTGGGTTTCTGAGGCGGTATTTCTACGGAAGTAGACTGTCCGATCTCCCTTCCAAGGAGTGGCTGGTGGGTTTGAACTGCCAGTCATCTGGTTAGCAGTCAAATGCCTTAGGCATTACGCCACCAGAGCTCCCACTTCCAATGACAGGTACTTCATATTAATGTATGAGAATCTGACAGATAACTATTAATTACCCCCAAAACAATAGTTTAAAGTAGTCTTCACTATATTTTCTATTGCAATAAATTGAGGAACTCAGACCTTTCAACATCTTCAAATGTCATATTCAAATGTTTCACGTTCAAATGTCTAAAATTAATATTAACTTTCAATAAAGGAACTTCAGGAGAGAAAATAATTATGACTAAGCAAAGAACTTCCAGTTTTTATTTTTTAACAATCATTTAACAAGAAAAATATTTAACCAAATTAAAAAAAAAAAGATTAGGAGGGATTAAATTACAATAAAATAGTCAACTTAAAATAACAACCCCTTTATTTAGGGTCAAGGATGCCAAAGTTCCCATTTAAACAGCAGAATCGCACAATTGATATTTTACCTATACTTGATGGTACAGAAATACAAGTCATACAACTTCCATTAAGACCCTCTCTCCCCCCAAGAATAGAATTTGCAGTTGTTTCTTAGGTCAGTACTAAGGCTTTTTAAAATCACCAGTTATATTTTGAAATATATCTGCAACTACTCTGATAAAGAGAACACTTTTAAAACAATTCTCATAGAGAGTAAATATCTTAACATAATTTTGTGGCATGTTAGATAGCTTGAAGAAACAAAGGATGAAAAATAATATACAAAAATTACAGTCTCTTATTTATAGAAACCACCCAAATAAAAGATTTTCCCTAATCAATTATCCTGGCTTCTTATAATTTGTTAGCAGAGGTGAATCATAAGAAGCAAAATGCACCATTTATTTTTTTTTGGGGGGGGGGTGTTTCTGGGTTGTAGCTGCCAGCTTAAGAGATCATGATGGAAAATACAAAGCAAAGTATGATTATGCTAACAAGTTCTGGAACGGGAAAAAAAGAAAAAGAAAAAAAAAAAAACTCTTTAAAGTGTTTCTCTGTCCTGTCTTCAAGTCAAAACAAAAAAATTCACAGCACTTTAAAGAATGGGGCCCATTAAAATAAAACTGTAACTAATCTTACTATTACACTCCTAAAGTGTAAGTATTAAGTATATATTCTATAGTAACATTCTATAGTAAGCTGTTTGAGCAAATATAGCATTTAACAGATTCATTTACAGATTATGCATGGCTGCCTTTAGACAGCACCTTATTTTCACTCTTGAACTTGCAACATTAAAAAAAATATACGAATATAAAGGAATATATAATTTATGACAGCTGGCCAGGCACTTAACTTGGGAAAAGATACTTTCAGATTTTGAGGTAACTTAGAATTATTTTCAGCACTCACAAACATATTCTAAAAACCACACTGTATACCACACTAAGTTATTCAGTTTTCAAAAACTGTAAGTTTGTTATCTTATTGTACCAAAACTCACACCTAAGTTTAACTTCTTAAGAAATGAATAAAAGAACATTTTCAAGACTCAATTTTGGCCCTGTTTTTAGATACTTCTGTGCTTAGAATATACTTGAGAAAACCATAGGTACATAAGAGGGCTACGGGCACAAGAGCCTGAGATGAGTAATTATCTTTTCTCCCTAAATTAACATTAAATTTAACAGACTTTTTTAAGAGTCACACTGCCAGTCACAGACACAAAAAGAATTCTAGATGATAATGACAGGCTGAGGTGATAAGCCTAAACCTAGCCTCAGAAAAGTTACAAAGCAGTGCTCCAAAGGAGCAGAAACAAAGCAGCAAGAGCTTGTTTACATGTGATGACAGTACTGGGAAAGCTCCCGAATTGGCGCTGAAGAGGACAAGTCTCTGGGTTTACAGGGCATGGTATATGGTTCTCCCCCACTTGTGAACTCCTTTCAAGGTAATGTGGAGTCTGCCTGACAAATGAAAATTCATACTAGAAGATGGAGGACCTATCTCATAAATAATTAAGATATTTAAGGATCAACACAAAGTGATCATTTTGGAATTATTCTTGTTATCAAAGTTGTTGCTGTTATTTGCCGTCAAGTAGAACCCGACTCATAGTGACCCCTCTTTGGGTTTCTGAGACAGTATCACTACGGAAGTAGATTGCCCCATCTTCCTTCCGAGGAGTGGCTGGTGGGTTTGAACCACCAGCTTCTGGTTAGCAGTCGAGTGCCTTAGGCACTATGCTACCAGAGCTCCTGTTACCAAAGTTATCCAAATCTATTTTTCATTACAATTACCAGGGCATTATTATCTGCTAATGGAACAGCTAAGCTTTCAAATCCTTGTAACTAATGATGAATTTTATTTTCTATTCTTTTCTCAAACTGTAATTTCAATTCAGAGAGTACCTCTCGTCTTGAACAAACACATCAGCTCTTCTTATTGTCTGGTGTGTATGGACTAATTAATAAAAATCCATTTTAAATCCTTCAAAGAACATTGTGAATAAAGAAAAACTTTTCAGTTTGGATTCAAGGCACCCTTATTCTCAAAGAATATCTAACTAGAAAACATATTGGCTTAGTTTCAAGCGGCGTAAAAATGTCTAAATACTTTAAAGACTGCTAACCTGATTCTCCTTAGGATACCAAGTTTTTCCAGTCATGGTGAAGATTGATGCTGACCTCTTCTTTCCTTGCAGGACCAAAAGCACACATCTGGCAAAACTACCAGCTGGAGTTACTGGCACAATGTGCAAATGTGAAGAATCTCTCTCTGTGTGATGCTAACTGGCTCATTCAAGTTTTGAAACTGTGACCATGGTCTTTTAGCACCATGCTCTGACCAACTGAAACTCATCAAGCCCCTGTTGCTGCAGTATTAGGGGCAGAAGATGGGATGAGAAGGGACTAAGAGCAATAATTATATACATAATTAAAGTATCACAATATACAATGAAATGTAGTATGTCTGTTATTATACTGTATATGAGGCTTGAAAATCATTGATAATAGCTCTTAAATAGAATTTTTTTACAATATTTGAACCTTGCAAATACAGAGCTCTCTGGTATGACCCAAATTTGAATACAAGTGGAAGTTCATTGAGCACTAGATTATCAGTTAAGTGTAAGAAACAAATTACATATATTTTATAGGTAGTAACCTACACAAAAATGTGATTAGGTAAAAATTAAGTGAAATTAATCCTAATTATTTTCTGTTTCATCCTTCTCCTTGTAGCGCCCAAAAACAGGCCTCTGGAAAACCAACTTCATACGTGCAAGAAATGGCATCTGCTGTTACATAGGTGTATCTTTTTCTCAAAGGTAGAGAGGCTGTAGATATATTTTAGATACTCATTTTCATATATAATGATTTTTGAAACATCTACATCACTGAAGTATGTTAAACAAAGTCTACAAACCACTTCCAGGAAAAAGGCACTTCACTGAGAATGGGAATTAATTAAAGGAAAGTTGAGAAGACTAGGATAGACTCAAAGGTCAGTATTCATTTTTGTATTTATAAATACGGAGCAGATGCCAGTTCATAGAATGTAGCCAATGACATTACAAACCAAACAGCAACATTAACTATATTCTCTGGAAATGGTAATTATGACATTTCTCCAAAAACCAACATAGTTCCAAGTTCAACAGTAAAAAGGAAAAAAAAAAAAAATCACCAGCAGTTGCTACTTTAGAGCTCAAGATAGTTTTCAACAGAATTTCACATCTACAGTTTGGTTCTCTGTTTCAGAGCATGAATTGCTTTTCTGATGAAAAACTTGGGGTGGCGGAGGTGTATGTGTATAAGGGGAAAAAAAACCCAGGGAGGACAAATACTGGGCAGTAACAAGAGGTGCATTTCTCTGGTCAGACAACCACGTGAGGAGGTAGTTATTCTGAGAACTTCTCAAATAGAGAATTTTTTTTCTGATATACTGAGAGTGGGGGAAGTACATGAGTTTCTCTGTGAGACTGAAGATAGGCAACAGGAATACTTCTCCTCCAGGGAAGTCAGGACCAGGTGTCAGTGCAGCTGAAATAAAGATAGAATTCATGTAAGTGGCACAGACAGAGTACATGAAAAATAAGTTTAAAAAACAACACAACCTGAATGATAATACATTCCCAATTTTTCCTACCTTGAAAGTGGCTCTTTTCTGATGACAGAACTTTGTATGTAACTGTAAAAAAACAAACGCATCATGTCATTGTCATCTAGTTTTGATGTAGTGATCCTTCAAATTCCTGGCCAGTGTGAAGAATATGGGATACATATATTTCATAAATAATCTCTTTTAATTTCTAATATTATAAAAAATGTAAAGATGTCTGTAGATTAACTGTATGATTTTAAAAATAGCTCAGGCTTCATTATTCTCAGAAAAGGTTCCGTAAGAAAAATATTTTATAGTTCTAAGTGAGATCGTCAGTTAAATAGCACTATAAAAATATAGGCAACACTGCCAAATTGCCTGATACTAAATGATAAGATTTATGTCGAGACACCACAATGCCCACCTTTGTTACATCATCACACATGGCAACCCCATACAACCTTGAGTCCCATCATCACTGCTGTTGAGCTTTTTCATCCGGTACTGACGTATTTCTCTTACCAGTGTGTAAAAGGCATCTTCAACACCCTATAAAAAAATCAGCAAAAGAAAGAAAATAATAGACAGCTCGACTGACACAAGCTGTAAGTTCTCTCTCATTTGTACTTCTTCATGTGGATTTTAAATTCTCATTACTAAATTAACAGGAATTCTAAACTGTTAAATAAATGTTGTAATGTGCTTTCGAGTCGGAACCAACTCATAGCGACCCATCCTTGGGTTTTCGAGGCGGTATCACTACGGAAGTAGATTGTCCAACCTTCCTTCCAAGGAGTGGGTGGTGGGTTTGAACCACCAACCTTCTGGTTAGCAGTCAAGTGCCTCAGGCACTACGCTATCAGAGTTAAGTAAATAGGAACTCTAAAACTCACTGCCTCTCAAGGTTTAGCATCCTACTGAATTACATTAAGAGATTGATACACAAATGGCATATTAAAAAAAAAAAAATCAAGCAAAGGAAAATGGGTAATGTGGGTCACAGAGAACTATGAGACCTAAAGATTCCATTCAGGAAGATTTAAACCCTAAACAGTGAGTTGTGTTAACGGGAGAAATAACTAATGTTTATAAACATTTTTAATCAATGGCTTTCATTGCAGAAATGTTTGTTTGTTAATGTGGAAGCAAAAAATGCCACACCTGAATAATATTAAGTTCATTTTGAGGTTACAGTGAGGGAAACAGAACACTGTTAAAAATCTGTAAGAAGAGTGTTGGTCATATTTCTAGCAAAGAGTCAATCACACTTTTCTGCCTTAAACAAACGCCTGCTCAGATACTAAAAGATACCTGTCTGGTCTTGGCTGAGGTTTCAATGAATGGAATCCCGTAACTCTTGGCTAGTTCATGCGCTTGTTTTGTGTCAACTGTCCTTGTTGGCAAATCACACTTGTTTCCTACCAGCACCATAGGTACATCATCTGAGTCTTTTACTCGTTTAATCTGCTCCCTAAAAAAAAAAATAATGTTATCAAGGACTTAAGAACAATCAAGTTTTCAGGATTAACAGTTACGGAAAAGAGAAACAGACAGATTTTAACTAATCTTACTAGCTTCTAGCATTGAATTTCACTTTCCTACTAGTTATAGAAGAGGTAAGGAGACTGTGTAGACTTGATACAACAGCCATAGCAAAGCCAAATGTCAGTTCACCTCCTAATGGAAGTGGATTGGTTTAAAAAAAAAAAAAAAAAGCTCTGGATTTAACTGGCAACTTAAAATTGTTCTCTAGATTAAAGTAAAAAACTCTAAAACCTTTCAGAATAAGTGATAGTTATTTAACAGAACACAGTTTACCCACTTCTCCAGAAGGGTGGTATCCAATAATTTATTTAAACAAAATTATAATTTGAAGTCCAAGATATAAAACATCAAAGCTGTTCTAACTAAAAGGGGACTAGAAATAAAAGGGGGGATAGGGAGATAGAAGGATCAGGAACTCCCAGATGATCAGCACCCTCTTCAATAATATATAAGACATAACCCAGAGCATGTCCAGATTCTCTAGAACAGCACTGTCCAATAGAATTTTCTGTGATGAAAGAAATGTCTTAGATCTGTGTGGTCCAATAGGGTAGCATCTAGCATTTGAGCACTAGAAAAGCTGCTAGTCTAACTGAGGAAATGACTGTTACATTTTATTTAATTATAATGACCTTAAATAGCCATATATAGTTTGTGGTTACTACACTGCACAACACAGTTCCAGACTCTACTCTTGGATTACATACAAAGCTATGTCGTGAACTGCACTACATTGGTCATCTGCTGAACTATGCTTTGTTATGATGGCAGTAAGCTATGTTAAGGGATACTGCAAAAGGTCCTAATGAACTCGAACCATGTTACTGGTGGTGGTGGTGGTGGTGTTAAGTGCCGCAGAGTCGGACCCGACTCATAGCGACCCCTCCCTGGGTTTCCGAGTCAGTATCACTATGGAAGTAGATTGCCCCATCTTCCTTCCAAGGAGTGGCTGGTGGGTTTGAACCACCAGCCTTCTGGTTAGCAGTCAAGTGCCTTAGGCACTATGCTACTAGGTTTTAAGATCCAGGAGTATGAGACCTCCTACTTTGTTCTTCTTCAATAGTATTTTTGTTATCCAAGGACTCTTTCCTTTCCATATAAAGTTAATGATTGCTTTTTCCATATCCTTAAAGAATGTTGATGGGATCTGGATTGGGAATGCACTGAATGTATAGACTGCTTTAGAGATAAGGAAACTGAAGTACAAAGATTTAGTACTCTGCCCAGAAGTCAAACAGCTAGTAAATGATGGAGCCAAGTTTCAATCCAGGCAGAGGTCATGTTCTGAGACATTATGATACGCTGCAAAAGAGCTCTGAGCTAAGAAAACGGTCACTGTGGGTTTTGGTCCTGGCTCTGCTACTAGTAACAATCACAACTCCAAAAATCTAACAAACCACTTTCTGAACTCTAGTTTCTGATTCTGTAAAATAACATTATACTAGAATTTTTTATGGCCCTATCTAGCTTTGAAACTTGATGGCTCTATGGAGAGAGACCATTTATATGTTCCTTTGCCCTGCTTTCACCCCATCTGTTTCTTACCATCTTTTCTATTACTTACTGAAAATGTTTCTCAGAGATGTTTTCCTCTCTGAAATTCCTTCACGATCTCTCATTACAACACCTCTAGTTCTCAATCTTTCCCACTACCAAGCTTCATGTATGCATTATCACACATCCTAGCAACAATGTATCAAATAAAATAAATTCCAATATTAACTTTCAATAATAACCTGATTCTCAATGTCAAGCAACTTAAAACCAACTCTCCATTAACAAAGCTCTAGCTTTCCCCATGTGGCAACCTCATATCCCACAAGGCTTCAGAACGCACTTAAGGAACATCATTCCAGGAAAAAATATTGCTCCTAGTACCTGTAGAGGTTAATATCTGCAAATGATTTGCTATTATTGATGGCAAACACACAGAGGAAACCTTCGCCTGTCCTCATGTATTGGTCTCTCATGGCACTGTACTCCTCTTGTCCAGCTGTATCCAGTATGTCCAACAGACAGGTTTCACCATCTATAACCACTTGTTTTCGGTATGAATCCTGAGGTTGTGGAGGGAGGGGGTGGGGAGAGGAGAACATAAAATTTTATTAAGAACCTCAGAGAAAGCAATGCTATTGACAAGGTTAAATAATCTCCTGATATGCAAGTCCATTTCCATTTATCTGGGTTGCTCCTCAAACTGCTCATATATATTCACAAACAGAAAGCACTTAACATCACCCTAGGAAAAAAGCCCCAAATCCTGTATGTCTGTAGAAAGTAAATATTGTCATTTTGTTTTTGGAAAAATGAAAAAACAGGGTAATTTAAAAGAGGGATCTACTGCAGTTAGCAAACTAGAGATTAAGTTCAAACGTATTTTACTAAAGTATTATCTTGACTATTCTTATTCGAGCTATTTATTCTACTTTAAAAGTTTTAAATATACCTCCAATGATAACCTAGTCTTGGTTATACTGTTATTTATGTTTACGACTAAATAACACAAATACCTTTTGTTCCCAGTTTCAAGGCCAATTTTTCTTTTGTTCTCATAATGCCAGATTGTACCTTGGGGAAATATTCCAGAATCAAATTTCTGAAGGTTCCAAACAAAAATTCCTTCTTTAAGACAAAAATTTTGCTACCTATATTCTGGGAATTCAGTTAAAAAAAAATAATATCATATTTGGTAAAGATCTGGCTCTAAGAACAGAATGTGACCTAGTTTCCTGGCCCATTGATCATTCCTCTGTAACTCACTTCAAAATGGGACTCTAATATATATTATCACTCAAGTCAATATAGAATTTACTTTATCAAAGCTTTCTTCAAGTAAGAAAGATGGTTAAGTGTTCTGAGAAAATGAACAAAATTATAATTACACAAAGAGATTCTAGGGAAAACAAATTATAGTAATAAAAATCAGACAAGTAGTTATTTCCTAGTGGGGAAGGGGAAGTTACTAACTGAAGAAGGACATGGAAGAACTCTTTGGGGGTAATGGAAATGTTTTTTACTTTGATCTGGGTGGTGGTTATATGGGTACATAAAGATGTGAAGTCAAAAAGGACCTAGCAATCTACTTCTGGGAAAAAAAAAAAAGACCAATTAAAACCTTATGGATAACAGAGGAACATTGTCAAGACCCAGTAGGATGGCTATAAGACAACTAATAAGTGTTGTTGAAGATGTGGAATGTAAAATGGTGCAGCTGATTTGGGAAACAGTCTAACTGTTCCTCCAAAGATTAAACAGAGAGTTACCACAGGAACCAGAAAAATTCTACTCCTAGGTTATACTCAAGAGAAATGAAAACATATGCTTGCACAAATACTTGTACACATTTACAGAAGTAGTATTCAAAATAACCAAAATATGGAAACAAAATCTCCATCAACTGATGAATGGATAAATGAAATGTGGTATATCCAGACAATGAAATATTAACCCGTCATTTAGTCAATTCCAATTCATAGAGACCCTAGAACAAGGTAGAACTGTCCCACAAAGTTTCCCAAACTGCCACATCTTTCTCCTGAGGTGCAGCTGATGAATTGAAACAGCTAACCTATCAGTTAGTGGTTGAGCACTTAACTACTCTGCCAGCAAGTCTTCTTAATGAAATCTTAATTGCTCTTAAAAAGGAAAAAGTATCATTAACATGCTACAACATGAATGAACCTTGAAAACATTATGCCCAGTGAAAGAAGCCAGACACAAAACAGCCACATATTGTATGGTTTCATTTACAAGAAATGGCCAAGGGGGAAGGGGGTGGAGAATGACTGTAAATTAATATGAGATTTCTTTTTGGGGTGATAAAAGTTCTAAAATTGATTGTAGTTATGGTTATACAACCCTGAGTATGCCATTGAACTGTACACTTTGAATGTGTGAATTGTATGGGATGTAAGTAAACTGAAAAAATAAACATCAATAAAGTTGGTATAAAAAAGTAAAAAAAAAAAAGATGAAAAGTCACCTACCTTACACATAAGATTTATGTATTTTACTCTATATAAATTACATCTTCACAAATAAAAAATTTTAAATGTTCTAATTATTGCTATTAAAGTTGTAAAGCCTGAAATAAAGATTTGGTGAAGAATTATAACCAATTTTTAAGAGCAGATGTATTACAGTTAGGAGCCCTGGTGACACAGTTAAAGTGCTTAGCTGCTAACTGAAAGGTCAGTGGTTCAAACCCACCAGCTGCTCTGTGGGAGAAAGATATGGCAGTCTGCTTCTCTAAAGAGTCATAATCCTGGAAACCCAATGGGGCAGCTCTACGCTAAATTCACTAAGAGTTAGAATTGACTTATGGCAATGAGTTTGTTTTTTTGTTTTATATTAAAATTGGTTTGCATCAATTAAACTTTTGAGTAGCTGGATGGCTGGGAGGCCAACCAATAAAACCAAATTCACTGTCATCAACTTGATTCTGACTCACAGCAATCCCCACTAGGGTTCTCAGGCAGTCAATTTTTACAGAAGTAGATTGCTCTATCTTCCTTTAACAGAGCACGTGGTGGGTTTGAACCATCAACCTTCTGGTTAGCAGTCAAATGCCTTAGGCACTGTACCACCAGAGCTCCCTATAGGGAGGCCAGATTGTAGAAAATAAGTAAAACAAGTAATTGAAATAATGAAATAAAGTATGCAAAACAATCCCTAGAACTAGCCATTTTTAAATTAAGTAAAATTATAAAACTTTTTATTTAAAGGGATTTAGAAGTCACTCCTAGAAGCCAATCTATAGCATGAACTCCCACAACAGCAACAGAATCTTTGGAATAGGTACTATTTATGCATGAGTCTGACAGCAACTGATTAGTATTACCATACACACAAATTTAAGCATATTCCCTTATTTGATTTTCACAGCATCCCTAGCAGGATATGTTTAGGTAATTTAACAGATGAGGAAAATGAGGCTCAGAGAGGTTAAATGACTTGCTCACATAACTAAAGTAGCCACAAAACAAGAGACCTGAATCCTAGGCATGTTGTTGTTGTTATGTGCCGTGGAGTCAAACCCGACTCCTAGCGACCCCTCCTTGGGTTTCTGAGGCAGTATCACTACGGAAGTAGGATTGCCCAACCTTCCTTCCGAGGAGTGGCTGGTGGGTTTGAACTGCCAGCCAGCTGGTTAGCAGGCAAGTGTCTTAGCCACTATGCTACCAGAGCTCCCGAATCCTAGGCATACTGACTCAAAATCTTATGTTCTTTCTACTCCACGTTATAGTCTCAGCTGCCAGAACTAGCCAAATCTCTGAATCCTTCACCTCTATTCTGCTACACAAGCAGGCCAATAGCTCTAGCTAGGCCTGAGATCCTACTTGATAGAGCTGTCATATACGAAGAAATTGAGTGTGTTCAACATTGAATTTGCAACCTTTTTCAGAGCTTTTAAAAATTGTGAACTTTTGAGAAAATTTTCAGCAGGTAATAAAAATGAACTCCACAAGCACAGAAAGCTTTACATGGTGTATTACTGAATGAGAATACAAAACAACTCTATATTTTCTCTACTAATTCCTTTAGCTTTTAACTGGTAAACTGAAAATGAAAGCTAAGGTTAAGAGATTATCACTAGGCCTCACCTCTATGGTGGGATCATACTCATCTACAAAATGGTTCTGGATTAGCTGGATTGTGAGCGCACTTTTCCCAACACCACCTGCTCCAACCACCACCAGTTTGTACTCAGTCATTTCACACCAGCAAGAACCTGTGGAAAAGCAACAATCAGTGTTAACTGGGGAGCCACAACCACGGTATTTCAAAAGCTTTTTATTACCAATAGTTACTAAAACCAGAGTTTTAAATGTATCGGTTCCATACATGTGACCCTCCGCTGTTTTTTTTGTTTTTTTTTTAAACTGACCCAGGACAGCAAAAGCACCTATAGGTTGGTCCGGGCCTCAGAATTTTTGGATTCTGGTTCTTTAACTACCCCCACCCAGGTCTATTTTTCAACAATCCTTGGGCCCCGCCCTCAGCCTACGGTAAAGGAAACCCCCTCCCTTCCTACTCTCCCCGCCAATTCTACCTGTGGTGGGGCAGCCTTTAAGCCGCTCCCCTTTTTTCAAGCCCCCTCCCCCGCTGTCTCCAAAGAACTCCCCACGTAGAGTTCAAAACCAAGGACCCCCACCCAAGGCCTTTGTCTCCAGCTCGCTGATTCCGCCCGAACCCTGGCCACACTGAGACGCCTCTACGCTCAAAAGCCGAAAGCAACACAAGCCCAAGCCTCACCTCAAGCTCTACTGCCTCCGCTTCAGACGGATTCAGAACCACCAGAGGAAAAAATGTTAGAGACCCCGGAACCGCCATGAACAGCCCCCACCAGGGAGCGGCACTTCCGGCCCCGCCCGCTACGCAATCACTTAGCGCCCCGGGCGCTCGAGCTCCGCCCCGGCCACGTGGGCCTCCGACCCAGTAGTCACGCGGCAGGCCCCACCCAGAGCCGCCCCTCCCACACGGGACGTCCGGATAATGAAAAGCGCTGGGTGCTAGTGTTCTCAAAAATCAGTAAAACTTTATTCGCTTCTTCTTTCGCCATTAACAGAAAACTGGAGAAAGCAAAAAATGTGTGTTTACAAAGATAAATGGCCTTTTTACTCAGAGATCAAAACCTCCAACGACAACGGGGAAGATAGAGTGCCCTCCCCCATTCCCCCTGAGCTGACCCTTGTCATCTTAGACAAAGCTTTCAGTCCACTGGCCAGGGACCCTGTATGTGGCCAATTCAAGATGAGGGCCAAGAAATCAGACCAATCTATTCCCGTGATACAAGGTTGAACAGGAGACACCAAGGCTCCAGTGCCTGTATTTCACAAGACACAGGAACCAGGTGGCTACCTTTTAAATTTAAAAGGAAAAAAAAAAAACAAAAAAAAAAACCCAAGATTCATTTCAGGCACAACTTTTTTTTTTTTTTTTTTTTTTGTTTTTAAATCAGTAAAAGAAACTGGGTCCTAGAAGCTGCAGTGATCTAAGTAGCAGCAAGTTTGTGCATTTGTCCTTTTGTTTTTGTTTAAATATGTTTAAATTATCACACTGCTGGCAATCTCATTTGCATGAAATTCTGCACCATATATACTAATTATAGTAAGTTACCCCCTATCCCAGAAGGAAAAAAAAACCTACTCTGGAAGATAATTTTCATGGAAATCTAACCAAATTCTGTAAAGTGGACTGTGACGAGATTATAAATGATATGAAAAATAACATTTTAACATTTGGCCATCAACTTAAGGAAATGGTTTGCCTATATAAATTTTTGTAATTTTAAAGTCTACCCCTCATATGGTCCTCAGAATTAAATCATAATGAACAGGAAAGAAAAGGAAAAGAATGCAACTGAGTGCTAAGGCAGAACATCTTGCCAGAAGTAATAAAGGTAGACACTAAATATCAAGTGCAGAATTTCACAGGGCCAACAAGATAACAGTCTATATTTATCACACAGGCAAAGTGGATTTTGCAATTACCAGTTGCGTTAAATGCACCAAATAAAGCTCCTAAAATTGATACTAGAAGGCGCCACCTTTAAGTTTTCCAGGCTGCAACTGTGCATAATTTTAAAATGGTTTTCTTAAATTTCTTTATTTTTTTAAACATAACACGAGGAAGGTGTTAAAACTGGTGTAATAGCTCAATAGAATAAGTATTCCAGATTTTGGGAGGGATGAAGAGGGAGATATTCAGAACCCTTCACCAAAATCCCCCCAACTTGATCATAGTGGATTAATGATGTGCTTTGTGGATGTGATTAGTCAATGACACCAGCTTGACGGATCTTTCTTTCGGCACCAAATCCCTGTGAAGAAATAAAATTGAAGTTAATGACCTGCATACATGGCAATCACAGCACTGTCACAATTCTCAAACGAGTACAAAAACATTATTTTTAATCATCTTAGCAACCAACAATTTCTTCCTAGAGGAGAAAATCTGTAGTAATCCCTTTGGTCCCATTACCTTACCCATGTTCAAACTATCAGCAGAAAGTAAGAAATATGAACAACCATTAAGTTAGGGGCTCAACCAATACATACAAGTAATATAGTTTTATTTTTTTTTTCATTAATTTCTCTGATCTATGCTGAAATAAGAATTCAGCAATCTGATGGTCAGTTGGTCTCCCCCAAGGTTAGTATGGCCTCATACCATTGAGTTATCTGGTCCCCTTGGCTGACGAAGAACCATTAGGCGAGGAGCACTGGCATCATCCAGAGTGATGCTTTTCAAGCGATTGACCAATCGATCAGGTCTTGGAGCTGCAACAGCCTTGGGGCCTTCACTGTAATAAAGTCAGGAGGTCAGAGGAAGCAACAATCTGGTGGGAAGGAAGCAAATACTTGCAGAGGAGTGTGTTTTCTATCTAACTATTCAAATGACTCACTTTTAATGAGGGGACTCCTGCCTTACCCAGCCAGCTAGCAAGACAGGACAGACAAGTTTGTTTGTATTTTTTTCCACCCCCTCAATTCAAAGTTTATTACTGTGTAGGAGCTGGAAAAGTCATTTGGGTGAGGGTCATCCTTAGACTTGTCTGCAACCAGAGAGACCAGTTCCACAGATGAATAAAACAAAGTAGTGGATATGAAAAATCTTCAAATAGTTAAATATGAAGAAATATTTTTATGGACTCTCAGCTCTTCTAAAAGTAATAAAGTTACTGAGATACTTCTTTTAACTGCTAAGCTATAGAATTAACATTTTAAGTAGAATATAACCTAGAAAAGGCTTAAGAAAAGGAGCTAGGCAGAATACGAACTACATAATATAGGTTTTTTTTTTTATTTTTAAGATCTTGCATACAGAAAGTACCCAAATAATGTTCCATCAGGACAAGTTTATGATACTAAAGGTTAGATAATGAAGATTACAAATAAAAAAGACATAGGAAGTATCAAGAAACCACCAAAGAGTACAGGAAAGAAAGAAAAAACAGCGAAGGAAAACTAAGAAATGTGATAAAGCAGAGAACACTCCAAAAGTTAAAAGAGCCAGTCCAGGGTGGTTACTGATCCAAGAAAAATAAAACTCACCAGACTCGCCAAACATTACAGGCACTGCACTTGCCAGTGCGTTGATTAAGAATCACCGAGAACTCCACCTCATCTCCTGCCTGTAGCTCAATGCCATCCTGAACTTCTTTCACGTGGAAAAAAAGCTTCTTGCTATCTCCTACTTCATAGTTAATGAAGCCAAACTGAAATTTAAAAAAATAAAAAAAAAAAAAAAAGCTAAAAAAGGGACATACAACAGGAGGAGAAAGCACCTCACTATGAATGAAGCACAATGCTTGAGTAACTAGCAGAGTATTTATAAAGCATGCTAATAATACTGATGCTTCACTTCAGCTGCCTGGAGCAGCTTATGGTGATGCTCTTTAATCAATAATATTTATGGGGCAGCAAAATTTGTCAGGAAGAAACTGCCTTGGTATCACTGCCATTCACTCTAAGATGGAATGAAACAAAGAAAAGATTGTTTTGTTCCTTCATATATTATGAACTATGTTTATGTTTTACAATTAATCAAAATCATCAGGGAGCTGTTACTCGAACATGTTATCATTTTGACCCCTTCTAGAATTATTCAACTGGGCTTTGATATTAAGAAACAGCCCTATAAAATGTTATATTCACCATCTTTATGTTGAAAATGTCCTCTCTTAGGACTCATAGGGAAATTTCCCTCAGGTCTCGGTACCAGGGATCATTTTGTTTGCCCTAAGCCTACTTTATAAGCACCTACACAATTATAGTTCCTTTCCTTGTGTCATGTGCAAAAGCAGCTCTGAACTAAAGCACAAAAAACCCCACAGCCTTTGTATTCTGGAATCTCACTCCAGACTTCCTTCCCGTAGCATGTAATGCCAGTTATTAATAGCACTCTTATTTTCTCTTTGCCAATATCGTCACTTACTTTTTTTGCTCTTCATGTATTTTTTAATAAACTACCTCAAATTACTGAAAAAGGTAAAGCAGAAATAAAAATCAAACTAATGTTGATGGTTCCCTCTTGCCTGAAAAAATTTGGGGGTTTTGTTACTATTTGGCAAAATAAATAAATAAAGAAAGTCTTTTAACTCACAAAAAAGAACAAATTTAGATCTAAAAATATTTTCACTCACCTGATCTTTCACACACTCCACTGTGGCCCTACGCAGTGGTGTGATGTTATAGGCCATAGTCTGTGCATTTTGGCCCAGGACACACAACTGGAACTTGACACTCTCCCCTTTCTGCAGGCAATCCCCTTTGTTGGCCATTCCAACTATGCCAAATGGATACACCTCACCTTTCATATCCCCTGTAAGGAAAAACAGGTACAAATATTTCATCATAGTGCTCTGCTGATTATCCTATTATGTTTATAAATATAGTTGCTTAAAATGCATGATGTTCCTTGAAAATAATTCTGAATGCTAACTACTTACCATGAAACAAATGAGAATGTGATAGCTCATTAGAACCTGGCCTACTTGATGAAGAGCTTTAAACTGTATTTATGATTTTAGAAAGTAACACTATCACTGACAATCCTACTACTCTAAGTATTGAGCATTTTAAGCACTATGGGTGGCTAATGTTACTCATTAAATTATCTTCTTACCAAGTTCACAATGTAAACCAACCACCCAAAAATATTTCTGCCCCATACCCTACCTGGTTAAACAGCAAGACAGATATAGGCAAAAACAATGTAGCTACGTTTCCTTGGTATCCCACCTCCCGTCTTTGTTCTGAAAGTGCTTCCCATAAACCAAAGGGCTCCATTCCTCTTCATCAGGGGTCAGCAAACTTTTTCAAGGGCCAGAAAAAATATTTTAAGCTCTGTCACAACCACTCAACTATACTGTTGTAGTAAGAAAGCAGCCAAGGACAATTTGGCTGTGGCCGTTTTCCATGAAAACAGGCTATAGTATTTGCCAAGTCCTAACTCAGAGGTAAAAAGCTGGTTGAAGGTCAGGGCAGGCTACAATTAAAACCTGGAGCAAAGACATCACATGCTTAACAGTTCAGTATCCATGGGAATCCACTGAATCATTCAACGTGGGGAAGAGCAGAAAAACATCAGGCCAAAGTGGGAAGCTTCAGAAGTGGAAATGCTTTCCACCATCCTCCTAATGATGATAGGGGTAAGGGAATTCCACCCCTGCCCCCCACAGGAACCAAAAAGTGAAGGGAGATCCTTCTAGCAGATTAAATCATTCAGAAGAGTGATTACAGACAGTTAGACTGACCTAGCCAGATAATAATTACTATTTATTAAAGCACTTATATTGATTCACATTTAATCATCATAAAACTTTCTAAGGGTAAAAATAATCTCCCTATTTGAAAGATGAATACATTGAGCTTGGAAAGATTTAAGATATTTGTCCAACGTTATAAAGCTAGGAATTGCAAGAGCTGGCATGCAGATCTAGGTCTGCCCAACTCCAAAGCTCATGCTCTTAAATTCACTGGAGTTGTGCTCCTGTAACTTCTTTCTTTTTAAAACACAAAATGCATGCAGTATACTTTTTTTTTGAAAACCATTCAACCGTCCTCTGCATTAGTTTCCTATGTGTGCTATATAATGTTCACGTTATTGTGTTGTGTGTGTGTGTGTGTGTGTGTAAGATATGGTACTTGTTGCTACCAGGTGGGAAAATGTCATCCATCTAGTTCTTGAAAACTCTAGATGGGCTTAGAGATTTCTAAAAAGTTTCCTTTTCCATAAAGTCTATGCTTTGGGTTGTATCCTAGTCAATGTTGAGTAAGAGGACTATGAGGTGGGAGTGCAAAAGAAAGTAAAGTGGCAGTTACAGAAGAGGGGAGAATTGATACTACTTCACTGGTTAAAAGGAGCTCTGCTAGCACAGTGGGTAAGGTATCTGGCTGCTAACCAGAAGGTTGGTGGTTCAAACCCACCAGTTGATCCGCAGGAAGAACATGAGGAAATCAACTTCTATAAAGATTTATAGCTTTGGAAACCCAATGGGGGCAGCTATGAATTAGAAATGACTTGATGATAGTAGGTTTGGTTTGGTTTCAGTTTTCAACAGTTAAAGTTAGTTGCCCATACTTCCCCTTTTAGTGGTGTGGTATCATCATGGCATAACTTTAAAAGACTCATTTGTTACAAAGTCAAGTTGATCTTTGCAACTGGGGGATCATAATTCTATGTAAAACAGAAATTTCTAAGAACCTAATGTGGTAAAGGAACAGTTCTTTCCTTCTCTCAAATGCCCTCCTTTTTCGCCACATGATTTTTACCCTACGTGCCCTAGATGACACAAAGGCTTACTATCTTGGTAAGCCAAGCCATTACCTTTGGTTGGAATTTCAAACTCTCTCATCTACCCACTTACTTATGGGGAGTTCTATTCCCCCAATCACCCACTGTTCTCTCTGTCCATTTCTACTGCAAACTTGTTTTATAAAAACAGACCATAAAAAGTTGTTTTTTCTGATGTTGACTGTAAGGGGAAAGGAGTGTCATCTGAACTTCAAAGATGGGAGAAAAATGTAGAAAAGTGAAAAATACAGGGAACCTTGCCTGTAGAAACGTAGGGTTCCCGTGGAACCCTAGCTATTAAGAAATAGTAGTAGTAAACTTTTACAGAATGTAAGACCATTTGCAGAACTGAATGGTATTAGAAAAAAAATGTTAATATAGGAAAATTACAAAGATTATACTAAGCCCATTCAATTGAGAATATTTTGATTATCAGCATTAAATGACTATTTTTGTGTAAGATTTTTTTCTCCATCAATTTCAACATAACTCAAAGAGTTACTGCTCTGTCTCAGTCATAATGCTCACGCTGCAATCATTTTTTCACAACTTAAACCCAGGCTGACAGCATTTTCATGGAATGTAAAAACCAACCATTGTTTGAAGACTGATTTGTCACTTGTATGGCAAATCTGAAACAATCTGATAGGGATGCTCTTACCCTCTTCCACAATCTCAATCATTCCTTGGTACTCAGTCTGTGTTGGATCAACACTCCTCAGGGGGCGAATGACTTTACCAGAGTAAATGGTGGGATCAGCTTCCTCAGTAATACCATTCACTGCAAAACAAAACCAAGGACATCTCTCTTCAAAAAGCTTATGTAAACTCTACACCATAAGAAAAGAGTGAGCAAAAAAGAGGAAAGAGTTATTCCTGGGTTGGTTGGTTGCCTGCTATTGTTGAAATAAGGCAAGGAACCTAAAGTCAAATTTATTGCCAGGTCTGTCACTTGATCTTGAATACGTCTACACTATCATGAAAATTATCTCCTTTCATGAAATACATGCACCTTGTTTAAAGAATTAAAATATTCATATTTAAAATATGTCTTGACTGTCATTTTTTCCAGGTAACCAAATGTCACTTTTTTAGCCAGGCCTTCCCTGGTCTATAAAATAGCAACCCTCAATATTCCTTATGTCCCTTCCCTGATTGAGTTAATCACAACAGCATGTATTCCTCTCTTCAAGAAACATACTATCTACAATAGTTTACCTGTGTGCCCATAGTTAGCACTAAAAATAAGCTCAATGAAGACAGAGATCTGTTTTGTTAACTGCTGTACCACCTCATGTCTAGAACATATAATGCATTTAGATATTTACTGAATTTAAACTAATGGTCTCAACTATCATGCCTCAGGGCTCAAACAAAAGTATTGAAGATCTTAAGTGGCAATGATTTTCTTGATTTCTAATTATTTTTCATATTTCAACTCAATCTGTTTCAAAACAGTCTTCTAGGGATGTAGTCTCTCAACTCAATGGGATATACATTTTGGGGTTACTTTTGAAAAAGAGATACTGAATTAAAAAAAAAAAAAAAAAACTTAAAGCAAATGACCTAAATACATCTAATAGTAGATTTTAAAATTTAGTGTCTATCAGAGTCACTTGAAGAATTTGTTAAAAGAGATTGCCCACTCCCAGAGTTTCAATAAAGGCCTGGGGTAGGGTCCAAGAATTTATATTTGGAACAAATGGCAGGTAATGCTGCTGATCCCGGGATCACACCTTGAGCATCAACAATCAAGAATAACTTGGTCTTCTCTCCCTCTCCAACCCTGTCCTTCATTTCCCACCCCAAACATAGGTTGAATACGTAGAAGTCATAGTTCATTACCTGAGTGTGTTTTATTCACTTTTTCTGCGCTGACTTTGTTGCCTTTGCCTTTGGACAAGCTATACTCAACCATGTCCCCCAATTCTAGGCTATCAACATCACCAGAGAACTCACTGGGGAGGAAAGAAAAAGGTATTTTGAATATACCACTACCATAAAAATCAACAGTAGCAAGTAGCCTTTATTTCTTCAATAACAACATTCATTAAGTGCTTACTTATGCTGTAAAGTTTTAAGTACTTCATATTGACTCATTTAATTCTCAAGAATACTCTGAAAAGAGAAAGTACCATTATGCCTAGTTTCAAGACAATGAAAGATACCAAGATACAAAGAGGTTAATTTATATGATAAAAAATACACAGGTGGTAAATGGTAGAGCTTGGATTCAAATCCAAACCATGTGATGCTAGAGCCTATTACCACAATGTTGTATTATACACCAAATGTACAACTCTCTGGTGTCATGGTACCAACATATAAAATTAAACAAGATTCTTTCACGGAAGCAGAAAGTTTCCTACCAAGGTTCAAAGCAAGCACAGGCCTTTCTTTAATGCCTGGCCATATGCTTTCTACAACAGATGATTAACCTCAGTTTATACCTTGCCATATTTTTACCAATATGGAACCTGGGATTCAAAAAATATAATCAACCAACATTAAATGTTTTAACTTCAAAACAAAAAGTCTGACGAGCTGTTAAGTGCTTAAAACGCATTTCTCACCTGTAATGGAAGAAGATTTCCTTATCATGATTGGCTGTTTCAATAAATCCAAAATTATCCTTTAACGTTGCCACATAACCCAAAAGCCTCTTGGAGTTGGAATTACGACCTAAAAGTCGCACACAAGTTGCAATCTGCTGACCAGGCCTCTGTTTGTCACTAATACTAAATTCAACCTGTGAAAAACAAGGATGCTTGTTAATATCATGCCATTTCCAGGCCAAACGCAAGAGAATGAGAGGTACAACTTCTCCAGATATGTTTTCCACTTCAAACATCCTTTGTAATTATGCTGATGAGATAGATTTTCACCCAAAACTAACACTTTTCATTTTTATTCCATTTTACAAAGGATGCTTTGTTTTGTCCTTCAATGTATGTTCTGCGTAATTCTTAATTCCTCTAAAGTAGGCTTAGGAGGAAACCAGACATACTAAGTATAAGGAAAAAATAAACAGCAATATGACATCTTTGGTGTGATTTTACTCTGATGATGTTTCAGTAACCATTTTAACTTTCTGACCAATATTATCAATTTTATGTAATCTAACAGATTTAAGTATATCTTATTTAATGCTTACATACTTATTCCTCAAAAAACTTTAAGGAAGAATTTGCCAAGGTTTGTTCTAACTGAATTAAGTTTGTTTTAAATAAAAACATCTTCAAATATTTAACTTTTTAGACACAAAAAAAATAGCCCACCAAACATGATAAAATTTAAAGACACCAATTTGGAAGACTTACGATTAAGATGACAATCTTTTACACTACCCCTTCATCAAATAAGCAGAATTATCTTGCCTTATCTCCTATTTGAGGAGAAGTAGATCCTTCTACATCCTTCGCTTGAAAAGCAATAGTCAGTTTCACCCCACAATCATCATAAGCAATAATGCCATCTTCAGCCTCCTAGAAAGAGAAAGTCAAAATGCAATGAAAAAAATTCAACCACAAAAAAAAAGCAGTATTAATTAGCAACTACAATTCCTACAGATCCTTGAGCCAAAGAATTGGCATAGCTGTAGAACTCCAGGGTTTTTAATATCACAGATTTTCCCTATGAATAAAAAATAGTTTCATCTTAACATAGTACAGACAGCCTGGTGCAGAGGGTCTTTTAGTTTTAAGAGCTTAGCTTTTGTTGTTGAATAGCAAAAGCTTACTGAAAATTTAAAACATGTCATACATAGTAACACTATGCAGAACTGCCCCATCTTTCTTCATGGAGCAGTTAGGGTTCCAAATGCCAACCTTTCGGTAAGTACCCAAGCACTCAACCACTGCACCACCAGGGCTCCTTATACACATATCAAAAAAACAAACAAACCAAAAAAAAAACACAAACCCACTGCCACCGAGTCAATTCCACCTCATAGCAACCCTCACTGGGTTTCCAAGGCAGTAAATCTTTATGGACGCAAACTGTCACATCTTCCGTGGAGTGGCTAGTAGGTTTGAATGCCAGCCTTTGGTTAGCAGTCAAATGCCTTAGGCACTGCACCACCAGAACTCCGTATACACATTGTAGCCAATCAGAAATTAAACTATGTACCTCCAAAAGGAAATTCTGTAGGGAAAGCTTTTGTATCCCCTATTTTTAATGTCCCATAGCCCCTCAACAGTGTTTTGTACATAATTAATGTTAAATCATTCACTAATGCATGAAAATTAAAACTTATGAAGTTCTACAATCAGCTTTCAAACCACTGCCTTATCCAAGAAAAATTAGGGCCTTAGAACCATAAAAAAATTTCAGTTAAGTTAAATTTTAGTAATGACACTGTAGAGCAGCTACATAAATTATAATGCCTATTTTCATGGTTACAACTAGAATTTCTATGTGTATAATGCCCAGAGCCCTAATCTAGTTCTGACATCTTTCTGAAGCTCCAGATCTTAGTATCAAGCATTCCATATTCAAAACCATTTCTACCTTTTCATCATTCATACTTCTTCTAGAACCACTATATTTTAAATTATTTTATTGTGGTAAATATGTATGTAACAAAATACTTTCCAACAATTCAAATGTACAGTTCAGTAAGATGAATTATGTTCATCTGTTGTTCAACTGTCACTTTTATACATTGCCAAATTATACCACTGCCATTAACAGAAGCAGCTCAGTATCTCCTGTTGTTGTTATGTGTCGTTGAGTCAGACCCGACTCATAGCAACCCCTCCTTCGGTTTCCAAGGCAGTATCACTACGGAAGTAGATTGCCCGATCTTCCTTCCGAGGAGTGGCTGGTGGGTTTGAATCACCAGCCTTCTGGTTAGCAGTCAAGTGCTTTAGCCACTATGCTACCAGAGCTCCCCAGTATCTCCTAAGCAGTGAGTTTCCCTTTTCCCCTAGCTCTAGGTACTCCCCTGCTAACCACTAATAAACTTAGGTCTCCATACAATTGCCTATTCTAGATATTTCAGGTAATTGGGAACATAAAATAACTGTCCTTTTGTAATCAATTTCACTCAGCACGTTTTCAAGGCTCATCCATGTTACAGCAAGTATCAGGACTTCTTTTTCTTCATGGCTGAGTAATATTCCATTGCATGTATGTACCACATTTGTTTTTAAATTCATTCATCTGGTGATGGGCAATGAGATGTTTCCACCCTTTCGGCTACAGTGAACAGTGCCACGATGAACATGGAGATACAAGCATTTGTTTCTGATCCTGTTTTCAACTCTTTTGGATATATACCTAGGAATGGAATTGCTGGAATATATGGCAATTTTATGCTTAACTTCTTGAGGAACTATCAAACTGTTTTCTACTGCAGCTGTACCCTTTTACAATCCCACCAACAACAGATGAGGATTTCGTATCCATATCGTCACCAACACCTGTTGATTTGTTTTTAAAATTAGCTCTTCCTAGTGGTTTGAGCCCACCATCTGCTCCACAGAACAAAGATAAGGCAGTCTGCTTCCAGTAAAATTTACAATCTTGAAATCACATGGGCCAGTTCTATTCTGTCCTTTAGGGTCACTATGAATTGGAGGCAACTCAATGGTGGTAGGTTTGGTTTTGGTTTGATAGTGAGTATGAAGTGATATCTCACTGTGGTCTTGAGTCACACTTCCCTAAAGACTAAAGATGTTGAACATCTTTTCATGTGCTTGTTGGTTATTTGTATATTCTCTTTGGTGACTGCCTACAACCACTATACAATAAATATTCTTTGAGGATTTGCTACATGCTAGGCAGTATTTTAGGTCTTTTATATTATCAAACTTAGTGTTATGATAACTATACCTATAGTTACTCCTGATTTCATTTTACAAACAAGAGAAAAAGTCTTAAAGGTCAAATAACTTGATAAAGGTCACACATCTGGTACAAGTTGATCCTAAGGAGTTGACTTTGGTTGAAGCAATCATACCACTGAATTAAAGTCTTAAGCCCAATGGCATCAACTCTTTTGCAAGTCAACTAAACTCAAATCCCAGCATTCATTTTTGCTTTCAATTTTATTCACCCTCAATACTCAATATCCAGCCAACATCTGACAATATACCATATACCAAGCATATTAAACAGATTTTAGACACAGCCCCTGAATAACCCAGACTATTAGGGGAGAGAAAGTCATAAATTCAGAGAGACAGATGTAATACACAGAAATAAGCACAATGACAGGAGGATACCATAGTATACAGTGTTGGCCTCTGACAAAAATAAAGGGCAGGAAAAGTATCACATGAATGCTAGTTTTGCCAAAAACAATGGGAAGCAGAGTTTTCCAGGAGCTAAAAACTATTAAGTAAGCTACATTTAACTTTCCGTTTTATTATTGTTGTTAATAGTATCATCTGCCACTTATTAAATTACTAGTGTGGGCTAGCCACTATGAGGGTTTTTTAAATACAATTCTATGCAACTAAGCCAAACAGAGAACCTTCGTCTTCTAAGTGGTAGCATAGTGCCTAAGGCATCTGACTGCTATCCAGAAGCCTGGCGGTTCAAACCCACCAGCCACTCATTGGAAGGAAGGTTGGGCAATCTACTTCTGTAGTAATACCACCTCAGAAACCCAAGGAGGGGTCGCTGTGAGTCGGGGCCAACTCGACAGCACAGAACAACAATGTGCAACGACACAAAACAGAGAACTATCCTTTCTAAGTTTAAAAACTGAGCCTCAGAGGTGAAGTAATTTTCTCAAGCTATAAAGTGTTTCTCAAGTACCTCTTTTCTTGTCTACATCCATTATCTCTGCCCCTAGGTTCAAGTACTACTAAAATATTAAATTCCTATCAAGACTCTTCACCTTGTTTTTCAACACTTTCATTTAGTCTTTATGCTACTCCCATTATTCTCCTGAATCATATACCTGATGTTACTTCCCAAAATAATTTTTTTCTCTACCTAGAGTGAAGATCTAAACTCTTTAACATGGCAATCAACACCCTCCTTATCTAGCTGCACCTTGATTTTCCATCCCTATTTCCTCTACTTCTCCTACAAAAAAAGGAAATTCCTCGTTCCTGTCAAACTACTTAACTCACTGCTCCCTCACAATTTTTTTTCTCATATGTAACCATTACACTGTAAAAAATGTTCTTTCTTCACTTATCTTCCCCTATTAAATGGCAATGCTTCAGTGAAATCATCCCAGATCCTGCAGTAAGAATTCATTTCACCAGAGCATTTTCACTGACCCTTTATTATAGCATTTTATCTTCTCTATAAATTATTTCTACACAACTCTCAATCTGTTTACTTAAGAGAAGTGATCTTAGACATTTTTGTATTTCTTAGCTATTAGATTCTTTTAATAAATAGCCTTCGAATGCATGAACTGAGCCTACCCAATTTTGAACATTTTAATGGTTTAAAAGACAAGCACTTTCATCTTAAATAAGCAGTTCCCAATTAGGGGTGATTTTGTTCCCCAAGGGATTTTTGGCAATGTCTGGAGATGCTTTTGGCAGTCAACAATCAGGAAGCAAGAGGGAGCTGATACTGTCATCCAGTGAGTAGAAGCCAGGGATGCTGCTAAACATCCTGCAATGCACAGGACAACCCTTATACAGCCCAAAATGTTAATAATGCTGTCATTTAGAAATCGTGCTTTAGATTAAATTCACCATTAAAGTAGCAGGATATTCTTTTGAAAGAGACAATACTGTATTATTACGTGGCAGTAGTTGCTGTTAAGCAGATCAAGAAAATAATTTTAATCATATAAACTTACCTTCTCTTTGCCTTTATTTGGGCTAGTGGTTTTGGGATTGGAAAAAGTGGCTTCTTTTTCTACAGTGCCCAGAAAACGATGATCTGAATGGGAATGGAATGAAACCGTGCCCTTGGGAAGTTTTTTAATCCTAATAGCATGATTTCTTTGGGCAGAGAGCATATCCTACAAATGATAAACAATATTAACTTTAAATTGAAAAAGGAAGCATTGGGAAAAAAACAAAAAGCTCATACTTTTCTTAAAAACTACTCACAGGAACTACAGTAAATTCTACTTCATCTGCAATATGGAGCTGGTTCCCATCCAAAATTTCACTGAAGTGGAAGAACATACGAGCATCACGATCCACACACTTGATGAAACCAAAACCATCTCTCATGGCAGCAATCACACCCTGAAACCAAAGAGTATTTTCACTGGCTGTGAAACTTAGCAAGTAAAAGAACACTCAAGTTAGGAAGCATCATACCAGCTAAATTCATTAGGAATTTCCAAACACTGTATCCACATTTTCATTCTTTTCCTTCATTAAAATACGAATTTGCTGCTTTCAGTAAAGTAATTTAACCGCAAAGCAATTTTCTGAGACCTTCCAGATGCTACTCCTCGGCATATATTACCATATCTGAGCAGAAACACACATACATAATGTACAACAAAATGTGCAAAAGCAGAATCTATATATGGTGGAAACCTGTCAGAGAAGGAAAACTCTGATAGAGAGCAACAGAAAAGCGGTAAGAGTAAACCCTGTCAAAAGTGGAAAACTTACAAGACCTGGCAAAGCAAGGCAGTCTTGTCAAGTTCTGGCTCTCCCAGGTTTTACTATATTTCATTTAATTCTCCCAGGTTTTACTATATTTCATTTAATTCAGAATTCAGCTAACTTGGTAATATTTATCCCTGGTTTATAAGATGAGGACACCGAGGCTGAGATAGGTTAATAACATGACTAAAGTACAGTGCTAATAACTGGTTGAACCAGAATTCTACTATGTTAGGCTCTAAAGTGCAAGCCTTATGGCAATGTAACTTCTGGAAATTTCAAAAATCTACAAACCAACATTTCAGAAGTCTTCAACAAAAGGTAATTCTCTAGTCTCTACCTCAAAAATTCAAGTGAGTTTAGGTCTGAAGAATAAATACTGAAAACCTTTTCCCCATCCTGTATTTCCCTTCCTATTAAATTATCAGCTCTCTGATGGCATTGAATCCAGATTACTTGGCACATGGGTAGGCAAACAAATGTTTCCTGAAACAATGAACAAATTTTCAACCTATCAAGGACTTACATATTACATATTTAGAGATGACTGTTCTATATCCAGTTATGAATATGGCCTAAACAATATCCTGATACTCACTGCAAGTCCTGATGGTAGATGGTGGTCAAGCTATTCAAAACTGCATTCTATGTATTATAAAATAAGACTGCCTAAGAAGTTTAATGTTTATTTTTAATATCACACTTTCATAATTCCAAACTTTTAAAGTTAACAATATAATGCAAATATCAAATACAATCAATTCTCAAGGTAAAGGTTAAAAAAAAAAGTCTGAAAATGTTAAAATTTCATGGACTGCATCCAGTTCCACCAAGATATATACAGATGTTAAGATCCTAAGCAGAACTAAATGTAAACTATGGGAAAGTTAGTTTACATAGAGTTAACTCATGAAATTGAATTTGAAAAATATGTTTGGTTAGCAATTCTAGTACATGCCCCTCTTGGATATATATCTTTAAGAATTTTAACTTAGTTTACTCTAGTGTTCACTAAACTTCTTATGAAGCAGTTTGGGAAAATCTGTTTTCCAGAATGATGGACACGAATCTTCTTAATATTTAAAGATCACCAGAGAACCAGTGCCTCTCAGACCTCAAAATTCATCCTGTCCTAATTTCCATTCTAAAAATCTTTTTCACACTGCATTTTTGCAAAAAACCTGCAGATAGCAATCAAACCCAGATTTATTCAAATATTTACGCTCTTAATCACCTTACAAGGTAAATATGCAACTTGGTCATTAATTTAAATTTAAGGATTTTCAATTTAGTAACACAATCTTGAATTAACATTGCCTTCATGTTGACTATATATCTAGTACCTTCTAACACTTACCATTTCTCTGGCTTCATTAGTGAACTGAAATGTATTTGATAGAACTTCTATATTGGTTGCTCGTTCTAATTTGTCACGTCGGTCTGTTGAAATATTAAACCTAACATGGTCACCTTCCAGTAGGGTCACCTTGGATTTTGTATCTTTGTCTCCAAAGGGAAGTTCTTTAGGAATCACAAAATCAACTTTGATGCGTCCTGGCAATGGGTCATTCTGATGAGAAAGAAAAATGATTTTAGCTGGAGATCTCATCCTTCCTAGTTCTAAGTCAAAGAAGAACAACACACACCAAACCCATGTTATTTATAGTAAGACAGTTTCCTGAAGGTGTTAATAATGTAAGTCCAATTTAACTGCTTCAGGGTCTGTGGTCATATAATAGAACCATTGCAATTAAAACTCTGTACTCTGGTATCAAGAGATTTTATTTAAAGAAAGAATTTCAGTCTTTTAGGTTTCACATTTCCCCAGCAATGATGTCACTTGTCTCTTTATATCCCCCATCCAGAAATAAATGGAGGTGGGAGTACAAACACACACCCAAACTACAGTCTAATCCAAATGAGTTTTTTCCAATATAATCAGCATTTTTTCTGTCTTCTCTATCACCACTTTTTTTTTTCAATACACATTTATGTATATGTTAGCCAGTGGTTTCTCATTTAGTTTAATTATACACATAAAGAAATAACGAACTATTCCACTATCACACAACTGCACTAATCAAATGGAATAAAATTTCTCAATACCACACCGTATTATTCTACCATGGATGAGGGAAGAGAGAACACTACTACTAAAAAAGACTATTTACCTGGTTTTTACTGGGTACTTTTGGGATAACTTTGGTTACAGTTCCTTCAAAATGTTCAATGCTGATATCTTCAAATATGACTGTCCCTTGAGGCAATAGTCTGACATCTGTTGCAACTTCTTTACCCTGAATCAGAAGCGGATAAAGTCATGTAACTTTTAAGTGTTTCCTAAAAATGCTTAAAGTCCAAAGAGGAGCTCTGGTGGCATAGTGGATAAGGCATTTGGATGCTAACCAGGTCAGCGGTTCAAACCCACCAGCTGATCTGCAGAAGGAAGATGAAGGCAATCTACTTTTATAAAAAATTTATAGCCTCAGAAACAATAGGGGTCATTATTAGTCAGAATCAACTCAATGGCAGTGGGTCTGGGTTTTGTTTTCAAAAGACCAAAGATCAAGTTAGTCAACTAGCTTACATTTCTGTCCTTGATTGTGAACTCCACGTCATCTCCAGGCTGTAAGGCTTCTAGGTCACCCTTAAATTCACTGTAGTGAAAGAATATCTCTTTTACAACATCACCTCTTTCAATAAAGCCAAACGCCTCCTAAAACCCGAAGAAAAAGGAGGAGGTGGGTACATGACAAACCATTCAGTGTACATAACATTGTTTATTACAATTTATAATCAATAAGCTTTTCCAAAAATTATACTGCAATGGAAATGATATAGTTTGGTAAAGTCTAATATTACATTAATATCAGCAATTAAATTGCTAATTTTAAAGAACATAATTAGCAACCAAGAAATTTTAAGAGATTACTTTTAAGGTTAACATTTATTAACACTGAAGTAATTTTAAAGGAGAAGACAAAGCGGAAAAGCAAAATGCTTAGGTTTGAACCATTAAGACTTTGTCAAAGAATAAATTCAAGTGCCTCAAATTTGATGACTCTTACCTTCATGGCACAAACCACTCCCTGACAGCGAGCTTGTTTCTTTTTCAACAGCATAATATTACGAGCACTTACAGCACCAGTACTAGAAAGGAACAGAGGGATTTGGTGGGGGGTGAGAGGAGGGGTAGGATCAAAAAAGGATGAAAAAATGTATTGGCTCGATTAGATATGAATCTAGAATAAACCAACCAACCAACCAACCCACCCACCCTATTTTGGGGGGTCTTTAAGAACCCTACACCATCACTAACAGTAAATGTAGGTTTATGACACCTGATCTTTTTCATGACTCAATCCCTACCCCCCCCCTTCTAAACTGACAAATATAGATCATGTTTTCTCTTAAACTGTTGAAATTCTTTTTGTTTCTAAACTGACAAATATAGATCATGTTTTCTCTTAAACTGTTGAAATTCTTTTTGTTTCCCCCACAAACTTATATATGGCCTTGTCTAGTCTGACAAAAGAACCGAAAGTTGCGAAATCAAAGCTGTGAATGCAACCAAAAGTAAGGAATGCTAAAGTGTTAGAGAGGTATTACTTGAAGAATGAAAAGAAAAACAGCTTTAACAATGAAAATCAAAGTTTTAGAGGGGTCGTTCACTGAACAAACATTTGAACAGATATTATTATGTGCTACAAACTAAGGTACTGGGCAAAGAGAGATTAAGAAGAAATCATCCTATTTTCAACGAGTGCTGACTTTGATACCTATCCTGTCAATTATTTCTGATTAACAGCCATGAAACACAGCTGAGTAAATGTACTGATTGTAGGAAAAATCTGGTATGCTTTTCAAAATATCAATATTCACCTCCACTGAAGAATTTAAATCAGTTAGAGTTACTACATGTTGCTACACTGTCTCCATCTTTGAGCAACAGCAATGTAAATTCAATTTTGTTTTAAAGGTAGTATGAAACTGTACAAGATGCAGTATTATTACTGTAGTTGTTAACGAGAAAATCTATAGATCCATTATTTTTCTTAGTTCTTCATGGACAGATGATAACCTAACTGCTGTATGCGGAACAGTGTTCTTTTAATTTAAAAGTTTAGTTTATTATCAAAGACACTGAAAAAACATTACTTGCCTTTTGCAACTTGTTATGAAAAGGCTTTAAGAAGCAGATTGGGATTTAAATGTCTATTTAAAAAGTTGTATGACTTTAGAGAAGTTACTCTGTGAGAATTTATACCTCATTTCACAGATGAAGAAACTTATCAGGTAAAGCTCTTCTAAAGAGTAGCAACCATATATATAGTACAAGTACTTGGCACATATAAAAAGTTAATGAAGGACAACTGGTCTCTCCTCATCCAGAGCAAAGAAGAGTGAAGAAAATCAAAGCTGCATGGAAACAATTAGTTCAAGGGACTAGTAGACCCCAAGACCAGAAGAACTAGATAGTGCCCAGCTATCACTGCCAACCAACCACTCAGAAAGAGACCAAAATTGGAGGGCGGGAGAAAAATGTGGAACAAAACAGGTTTATCAGTCTGACAGAGACTGGTGAAACTTCTGAGACTATGGCTCCTAGATACGCTTTGACCTGGAATTGAACTCATTCTCATGGCTTAACATTTCAGCAAACAATAGACAGGCATACAAGGTGAACAATCATACCAGGGAGGTGCACTCCTTAGAACAATCAACCATGGGAGATCAGAAGGGCAGTATTTGCACTGGGATATAGCTCAGAGGGCAGGAATGCATGGGAAAGAAGAACGCAAGGAAAAAGGTAACCACAGGCAAGAAGGAGGGAAATAACTTTTACACTGTGGGGATAGCAATCAATGTCATGAAACAAAACTTATATGAACTGTTGAATGGAAAATGAATTTGTTCTGTAAACTTTCACCCAAATCAAAATAGAAAGTTAAAAAACAACACAATAAAAAAACAACTTAGTAAAGGTTAAATAAAAGTCCTTCACAGTGGCTTCCCCCTCAAACTCAAGCCTTATCCCCTAGTTTCCTACTTCAGATTAAATAGAGGCCTTAAGAGTGAACAAACATAACCAACCAATACCACTCATGTTATTGTTCTGATTCCTTTCTCAAAGACAATTGAAAAACACCTCAATCTGCTTCCTTCTAGTTTTACAAGAGGTTCATCATGAAATATTTGCTTTTTTGTGTTTCTTTTCCTTTCTTATGATGCCTAGTACTCTTTCCAACTTCCTGTTTATAACCTCTCTATACTTCCATTCCTCCAGTCTCTCCCATCCCAAAATAAGTCTTCTTTTCATAACTACGTGGTCCTTGGTCATTGTGCTTCTGCCCATTACAGCTTCTACATCTCAGACCTATATTCAACTAACTACATATTCAGTATCTCCACCAAGATACAACCATGTTGTTGTTGTTGTTATGTGCCGTCGAGTTGGGCCCGACTCATAGCGACCCTTCCTTGGGTTTCCGAGGCAGTTATCACTACGGAAGTAGATTGCCCCATCTTCCTTCCGAGGAGTGGCTGGTGGGTTTGAACCGCTAGCCTTCTGATCAGCAGTCAAGTGCCTTAGGCACTATGCTACCAGAGCTCCCAGATACAACCATAGACACCTTACATTCAAAGAGTCAAACTAAGTTTGCAATTCTTTTCCCATCCCTAATACTTTTACAACATCTCCTTAGTAGAGTTAATGGTACCATCATCCAGTAGGAAGACAATGGTGGCTGAAGTCAAAAGTACAACTTTTAGGATTTCCTTCTCTCAAATTACCATACACGGATCTACTAAACTATTATGAAGCTTGATAATTTTATCTTCTCAATGAGACTTCTCCATTCCACCACTCTTGGCCAACCTATGTTAGGCTCCCATCATTCATGTAAACACTGGTTATCACATCTTCTAGTTTAGACCCATCTCTACCACTTGCAAAGATTTAAACTCATCATTTCTCTCCAATTTGAAATCCTTCCAAGTTTCCTTTGACCACAGGGTAAAGTTCAAACATCAGATTCCTGAGATCTGGTCAATTCAAGAACTGAAACTTTTCGCCATTTCTCTAACCATGCTGTGATACTTCCTCAATCTCCCTAGGAATTTCACACCCACCCTTCAAAACTAACCTCAAGTACTGCTGCTTTTGCAAAACCTTCAATAATTTCTACAAGAGTCCCTTGAAAGCTGTGACCATATTTTATCTTCCTATTTTCTGATACCCTACCCTGAACGGTATCTGTTACAGAAGAGACCCTAATGCTTAGCTGATGAAAAGCATACAAGATTCTGAAAACTATATAGATTTACAAATTAGATTTTTAACTAGCTTCAAATTTCTTAATGCAAAAATACCAAAACGAATCACATAGGTGGGAATATGTAATAAAAAACTTACTGTTTATTGTTATCAATTACAAAGTTTATTTTATCTCCTGTTTCCAGCTGAACGTTCCCTTCAACATCTTCAGGGGTGTAAGTCAGATAAAATACCTCCTGTGAATTAATAAGTTATTATTACTGTACTGGCAGGATGCATATTCACTGTTTACTGTGATTTACTTACTTAAATAACTCTTATATGGGCATTTTAAGCCAAATTTCTTAAAATTAAATGCTTTATGACAAGTTATTTCATTCATATTAACACACACTTCCCCTCCATGGTCCTGATGACTTCTGCGAGCCCACAGCTGAACAGCAAATTCAACTTCAAAAAGCTTACACACGTGGAAGCATTTGCCCAGAGACTGTAGTTACATTTCAAAAAAACATTTTTATGTAAGGCATTCCAAACAAAAAAGCTGGAGTTAGTGCTTAAAAGGAATCAGAAGGGGGGGAGGGAATAAAAAAGAAAGAAAGAAAGAAAAAAAGACCACCCACCCCCCAAAAAAAGTGATTAAAGGAGCATTTTACCTTAATATTCTAACTAAGGTCACACTTGGGCAAGCTAAGACACTTGGAAGTCCTAAGGATTCTTTTTCTTTTTAAATTTTCTTAAGCTGCACTCAAAGTCTTTTAGAAACCAAATTTAAAACTATTTTACCAACTGCAGCTTACGTTTTCTATTTTGAGTTTTAAAGTACGCTTATAGATCACATGGTGGATCAGGCAAAGGTTTAAGAAAAATACACAAGTTTACCCCATTACGTTCGTAGCATACACTCCCTGTTGGACTCTGACCCGGGGCAGCTGGAGATTTACTCTCTAAGTTGTGAGGAACAGCGCACACAACCTACCAGTCAAAAAAAAAAAAATTTCCATTGCTAATCATTTCAGGAGCAGCACTGTGCAATATAAACTGAATTTTAATATCCTCTATACTATACATAGGGATGCATTTTAGTATGATCCACAAGAGGATGTCATGCTGCCATGTTTCAAACTTACAGTACATAAACTGACTGTAAGCACAGATTTAGGGTTATATGTAAAAACCCAAATTGAGCCTTGACCATAATTATGTATCAGGTCAAGAAATGCCAGTGCTTCTGATATAATTTTAAAGTAGTAATCTTTATACACTATTGCTGTCTTACGTGCAAACTGAGGTGATAGGGAAAATCTTCCTTTTCTAATGTGAAAGATATGCAAATGCAGGGCCCTAAGAAAACATAAAGCATTAAAGTCACTAACCTGTCCATTCATTCGTTCTTCAGGGAGGATTTCTGGTTTTATCTTCACCAGTTTAACAGCAATGGGTTTCCCAGTCCGCCGATCAGATGATACTTCAAATTCAACATCATCTAAAACAAAGAACATGCATGTTTTGGGGACTAATTTTGGCAAAATATTATCTTACTTCTAACTTAAACTTAAGGTTCCATTTGAGTTGCCTTAGACCACTGGTTCTCAAAGTGTACTCCCTGGACCAGCAGCATCAGCATTACTTGGGAACTTAGTAGAAATGCAAATTCTTGGACTCCATTCAAGCCTGATCAAAGAGAAACTCTGGGGAATAGGCACAGCAATCTGAACTTTACCAGGCCTCCCAGAGAATTCTGATGCACACTAATGTTTGAGAACTACTGCTTTATGACCAACTTAGTCTCTCCTTATCTTAGTTTTTACATTTTATAGATACTGCAAATGATGTGATATAATAATCATGACCTTTGGCAAGTTTTTTTCTTAACCTTCCTATACCTCAATTTCCTCATCTGTAATATAAGAGATTTCCTAACAGGACTGCTATGAGGAAAAAACAGTGGCTCCTATTGTACTTAAGAGTATTTGGTGTACAGTAAGCACACACTAGCTATTACACTATTTTCCTTCTCAAAGATAATCTAAAAACACACATGCTACCTTACTAACTTCAGTCCTTTAACAACCAAACATTTTCATGTGTGAAAATGTTACTTATGGTGTCATCCAAGATGAATTTGCATAGAGTCTAAGTGGTGACATTCTAAGAGTTACCTTTTTCAAGTACGAAAATCAGGACGTAGTAAAATAATCATAACTACATTTTATTGTGGTTTGGGTCAAAGTTTACAGAGCAAGTTGGTTTTCTATTCAACAATTCATACATATTTTGTTTCATATCTTCACTGCAATCCCCACAATGTAACAGCACCCTTTCCACTTCTTCCCTGTGTTTACCATTTCCATTTGTCCTTCTAACTTATCCCTTTCTGCTTTCTGAACTTTATCCCGGGGCAAATGTTGCCCTTTTGATCTCATATGCTTGATTGTCCAAATGAGTGCATACATCCCTGGTGTTACTATTCACCTTTATAGGTCTATTGTTTGGCTGAAAGTTGAGCCATGGGATTGAGTTTGGTTCCAGGCTTGAAGGTCAAAGATAACTTTCAGTCTATTAATTTCTCAGAGATACCACCACAACAGAAACTAGAATTCTGCTAGTTTACACAGACATACTTCAGTAGCTTAGAACTGACAGAGGCCAAAACTAGAACACTTTCATGAACAAGTTAAGAGAAACTTGTTATGAGGTTCTTTTGAAAAGGGGGAATTGACAGATTACCTCCTACTTTTAAGTCCTGCAGGTTGCCATTATACTGTGAACAGTGGAAGAAAAGTCTAGCTTGACGTTCTGAACACTGAATAAATCCATAAGAGGTTAGCAGTTTTTCAATAACCCCAGTTTCACGCAGTGCTGCTGAAGTACCATTGGGGTACCCATTGTGTCCATTGTTGTGGAGAAGGTTTGGATCAAAGCTCATCTGTTTTAAAAAGAAAAAGAACTCAATATATATACCTGAACATTATCTCCACAACACCAGCACAGTAAGGTTAATTAACAAACCACTAAATCATTAGTATAAAAAGGCCAAAAAAAGGGCAAAATAGGCAAATGGAAGATTATAGGGTTTTATTACTGCAATGTTAGTTTAGCTAATAAGTCATTTCACAGAAAATAAAGTATTTTGGGGGAAATGCTAATTTAAAGTAAAATTTTCACTTACCAGATGAAATAGGATTTCTGGAGTGTAATATTAAACATAAATCAATTACATAAGGAAAAGTTGCCTTTATGTTAAGTTTAAATTACTGAAACAGCAATTTCAGAGCAAAGGTTACCAATATTAACGAGATGGGAAACCAAACTACCACAACAAAAGTAATTGTTTATGAATACTTAATTCAAACGAGAACACTTCATAGTGATACACATGTAAGTTTTTTAATGGAAGACAATTCAAAATAAATTATTTAGAAAACAATACTTTTCTAAGACAAAATTCCAAGACAGCAAAAGCTCTTCCACTTTAATAAAAAATTTCACTAACAACACAAGTATATTAAAAGAAATCTTTTGACCCAATTCAGACACTGATGAAATCTCTTAACAGTTGTTTCCATAATCGGATAAAGCACACAAAAACCTACTCTTTGGTGAAAGAGGAAGCCATTTAAATGCACTGCAATGGAATGGGCTTAGGTCTTCAAATATTGTGTCACATTTTATCTGAGTAAACCAAGTTTCATAAGCTTAAGTGAAACATAAAATAGGACAAAATCTATCACAAACGCTAGGTCTTTACAACTAGTTTTAGACCTTTTCACTGAAAATGTGACTTATATGCATCTTCATTTAAGTGAGAATTTGAATATTATAAAAAAAGAGTATTTCATTTGCAGGGGGAGGACATTTTAGATCGATAAACCCAAATATGAGTAGCTAAACAATATGTGAAATGGCCAAATTATGAACATTAGACCCACGTCTGTTACGTTCTAGTTCTGTCAAGTTAGACACTATTCTGTATCTGACATATATTGATTCATTTAATTTCCACAAAAGCCCAAAAGGAAGTAATATTATCTCCATTTCACTACGGAGGAAACAAGAAGATCAAATGACTTGCCAAAGTCAAATGGTAGAGCCAGGATTTAAACCAAGAAGGTTTGCATCTGTAATCTGGGCTCTCAACCAGGGTTTCTCAAAAATAAGTTACCTGGAGATCTGGACAAAGGAATTAAAATGGTTAATTGAAGTGCGGGAATCTGAGATTCTCTATTTATAAAGAAGCTCTAAAGTGGTAACAATGCTTCTGATTATTGGACACAATTTAAGGGGCAAAGGCTCTAAATTACTAATGTTACCTCTTAAGATTCAAGGTGAAATGCTTAGGGAAGTTAGAAAGTGAGTTTGCAGGGTATTTCAACCAAACTGAATGACCTTTGTTAATCATGCTTGTAACACAAACCAAATTAAGTTGGAATGACTGCTTCCCTGACTTACAGATCTCTGATACGCAGGGGTCCTCTTTTGTTTTTTAGTTCCAGATGAGGTAGAAGATGAAGATAAAGGTAAAGAAAGTGGAGGAGGGGCTGCAGAAGGGGGATGAGGATCTGATGACACAGTAAAAATGTTCTCCATCTCAAACAGCTGTGATAATATAGCATAATGTTTACAACTATGATCAATAACAATTTAACACACACTTTAGAGACAACCTGTGAATCTTTTCAGATTTACTATTAGGTCAGTTTAGCAAAATATGATCCACTCAATCAGGTTTCCACTGACATAGGAAATGTTATGGCATTAACATTAAAAGTTCATACTGAAACATTTTGTGAAGCCCTTATACAATCCCTAACCCTTAATATTTATAATTTCAAAAACAAGGACTCTTTGGGAAAGGCCCAACTGTTTCTCAATATGTAGCAATCTTAAATAAAGTTCAATAATTCTCGATCAGTAGTCTCCCTAAAGTAGAGGACACATGTAAGAATCCATATGAGTGTGGGAAGTAAACATTACAACTATTTTTTCTTACCCAGAGATAAAAACTAGCTTTTACAAATATATATAAATTTTTATAGGAGCAGCCTCACTTAATTATTGTATCATATGATCATGTGTCACATGATATTCAGGTATTCGGAGGGAAGAGTGGAAAACTCCACAAGAAGCTGACTGTGATGCCCTCATTCATTTGCTGTCAACATATTTTAGTTGATATATCCACTTTAAGTGTATGTAACAAATTAGTTATCTAATTTAACTCAACACTCCTCACAGACAAATGGTTGAAAAAGGTTTTCACAGAAGAACTTTTTTTTTGTTGTGTGCCATCAAGTTGATTCTGACTCATGAAGAACGTTAAATGATTGGTAATGTTAAGCACATGTAAAGAAGTGCCTGGGAGAGATGACACTTCTATCCCTAGTACTAGTTATTCAACTTCCACATTATGAAATAACCAACCATCTAATCAGATATGACAAGTATGCCAAAAAGTTAAGCTCAAGACTATGATATGAATTTTTTTATTAAGAGAAATAAACCACACTAAATATACTGTCCCTTGAGATACTAACTCATGGTAGTATGAAGTTTTGTTAAACATTTTAAAAAACTAAATATTCAGAACATATTTCTAGTGAGGGTGGATTCTGTACTGTTAACAGGTAAACCATTTTTGTAATATTGCTTATTTTACCTTTATCCTCTTCATTTGCACCAGTTTCACAATACAAATGCAGTAGTGTAATTAAATAATTTATAAACACATAGTGGCAGTACATGCTCAACTTTTTACTGACAAGCAGTACGATCAAATTAATTTGAAGGCTACTATTCTAGAACACTTAGATGCTGACTTTTAAGCTATATTCTTTCAGGTTTAGACTGTAGTTGTAAGAGTACTAACAAGAACACAGGATGACATATAGTACACATAAGCCAGAAAGCTGCAAAAATAAAACAAACAAAAAACAAAAAACCCTGTATTCTCAAGTATTCAGTTCTATCACACATGCATGCAGTAAGAAATAAGGATGCTGTTTTTCTCACTTTTAATGAAAAATGAATCAGAATGGAATACAACAAGCATTTCTTTCTAAGGTTCTAATTTATTCCCTAAAAGAGGTGCTGGAATATAAACTGTATTGCTGCTCTTGAGCCTCTCAATTCCTAAATATGTATCAAAACACTGCTGAAAAAGATTTTCCCCCTTCTCTCAGAAACTTTGCTGACATAAGAACTCTTTCCCCAGCCTTCACCCATTTGGAGCGTTCCTCCCTAACAGCCAAAGTAAAAACACATACCACTCAACTTTAAGTAAGACAATACACTAACACCTTTTCATTTAAAGAATTCCTAATGATGTGGATTAACTACGTTTTTTTTTGGTGATATTATCAATTACTTCATATGGTCACATGTCATGTGATTTTTAAGTAAAGCAGTACCAAAAAACTTTTAAGCAGTATTAAACAAAACAGAAGTTTATTACAAAAATAATATGAAAATAGAAGTACAACAGAAAAAGCAGACAGCTCAACAAAGATCCCTATTTATAAAAAATTAAGATAAGGAAACTGTCACTGAGTTGACTCCAACTCATAGTGACCCCCCCCCCATTGGGTTTCCGAGGAGGTAAATCTTTACACAAGGACATCACCCCATCGTCCTTCTGTGGAGTGGCTAGTAGGTTTAAACTGACAACCTTCTGGTTAGCAAATGCGTTAAACACTGTGCCACCAGAGCTCCTTAAAATAAAGAAGGTAATACCAAAAAAGGGGTGGTGGGAAGGACCAGCATATAAATTTCCTTTTTTTTTTAAAATGGAGGGTGGTGGTGGTAGTGGTGGTGTCAGTTTAGCCCCTTAATAAAAAGAATATAAAAAAATAGAATCCAGATGGGTTGAGTTAAATTCTTAAATATTAAAAAACAGATGTTTATATTTAGAAAAATTTTTGAAGGGCAGCTTTCTAGGTTTGAATTCAATTGAAAAAACTTCAAAGGAAAGGATCAATATTTGATTACATAAAACGTACAAACTTTTCTACTTTAACCTAAAGAAAACAAATACATCAGTGTATTATTAAAGAATTTAAGTAAATCAGTAAGAACTAAATCACCAGAATATAAGTCACATAAGGGCAAGGACTTTTTGTTCAAAGCTAAATCCCTACAGTCTAGATAGAACAGTAGCTGCACATACTAGGCACGAATTTGTTTAATTATTGAAAGACAGTAAGACACAGATGAGAAAAAGTAAACAAATTAGTCTTTAAAATCATTCATTAAATACAAAACATTTGAAAAAATTAAATTTTGGCAATAATAAAACATATAAACTAGATCAGTATTACTCATATGTCAAATAAGGAACAATAAAAGACTTAAAAAATACTGAGTAAGTGCGATAAAAACAATATCCTTATATACTTCTATGGTAAACTGTACGGTACAACCTTTCTGAAATGCAGTTACCAACATGTATCAAAATGTGTAAATCTTCTGCATAATAATTCCACTGGTGGAAATCTATCTTGGGGAAACTGGCAATGTGGGCAAGGCTCCATGCACAACATATTCACAGTAACATTTTAATAACAAATTTCTGGAAACAGGAACCTAACATTTAACCATGGCTTAACAAGTTACAAATACAATATTATGCAGTCATTAGAAAGATGCTTGAAAATGCTTATACTGTAATGTGAAATAAAAAAGAATATTATTATTTATACAGTATGATTTCAACTCTTATTTTAAACAGACCAGAAAAGTCTCATTTAATGCTAATAGATAAGAATTTACACTCAGAATGTGTGTAGGGACACACAGCTAAAATGGTAAATATGGGTAGGGAATCCAGTTCTTATTCTATGCGCACAATGATAATAATCATTGCCTTATTCATTTCACTAGTACTCACATGCCCACTGTATCTCATCACTATTCTAGATTCTGCTGATATAG